GCCGGCATGCGGGCGCAGCCACTGGGGCCTTAGGGGGAGTTACTCATGGTACCACGAAAAGTGTGAGGGGTGTGCCAAAATGAGGAGATGGCGGCATACGGGCGCAGCCATTGGGGCCTTCGGTGGAGCTCCCGATAAGACCACGAAACGTGTGAGGGGTGCACCAGAATGAGCGGGTGGCGGCATGCGGGCGCAGCCACTGGGGCAGGCGGAGCTCTTTAATCATGGGGCCACGAAGCGCGTGAGGGGTGTGCAAAAATGAGCGGGTGGCGGCATGCGGGCGCAGCCACTGGGGCCTCAGGCGGGGCTCCGTATGGGTCCACGAAACGTGTGAGGGGTGTGCAAAATTGAGCGGGTGGCGGCATGCGGGCGCAGCCGCTGGGGCCTTAGGTGGAGCTCCCTATGGGGCCACGAATCGTGAGAGGGGTGTGCCAAAGCGAGGGAGGCGGGAAGAAGGGGGAGGAAGAGGCGAGGAGGTGGACGCGAGGATCTTTTCAAAACGAAGACCCAACAACTAAGGATGGCCGGGACAAGAGTCACCCTGCCCTTCTCACTCCTCCCTGCCCCCCTTCCCCTTCCTCCTTCTCCCCCCTCTTTCCCCTCCGCCCCTCCTCCCCCCACCCTGCCTCCCCCCTTCCTCCCCCCCCCCCCCCCCTCCCCTGCGCCCTCCTCCCTCTCTCCCCCCCTCCCTGCCCCTCCCCGCCCCCCCCCCCCCCTCCCCTCTCCCTCCCTCCGCCCGAGCCCTCGCGCTGGAGAGCCAGAGCCTGGACCGAGGGCACCGCCGAGGTGTTCCCGCGCGCTGGGCTCTTCCGGCCCCCCCCTCCCCCCCCCTTGCCCGCGGGGGGCAGGCGGCGTGCCGCCGCCCTCCTCCGCCCGCCGTTCCTCCTGGCATCGCTCGGACGTGTGCGTTTTTTTCCTCGGCGAGGACCATCGAGGAGCATCCTTGACCATTTGCCGAAAAAGCCACGCACGAGACCGACAAAAAATACAGGGAATGGACGTCCGAGCGATGGCGAGTCCTGGGCCCCTTCTCGCGCGGCGCGAGGGTCGCGACGGGAGGTCCTCGGCCGTTGTCCTGAGCCGGGCCGGTCCCTCTACAGGAGGAACGTGCAAGAATAGCGAAAGAGCAGTTAGTGGACGAGTTGTCGTTCTCTTATGACCCGTGTTGGCCATGTTTTGCCTGTGTTCTAGCTGTCTTCCAAGATCCGCCTGTTAAGAGGACATGCTCGACCTAACAGTTGTGGGACGTTTTCGAGGCCCAGGGTGGTTTCTATTTATCGGCTGCGGCTCTCCGAGAGCATTCTGGTGGTGCCATGGTCGTCCCGAACGGCGGCCAGAGGCTTGAGAAATGGCCCGAAAATGGACACGCTCGCGTCGTGACAAAGATCCCAGTTGGAGGCTTATTGGTAATTTCCGGCCACTGGGGGGCCCTCGCCAGGCCTTGGGGGCCGTCAAGAAACGGCCCAGGATGATAGAAAATGGTCCCTAGGAAGCGGTCCAGCCCTCTGAGGTCTGAGGAAAACCCTGGTGAAAAATCAACGGTCATGGAGGATGAGGGATGGAGAGCGAGAGATGGATAATGGAGGATACAGTAAGAGGAGGAGGAGGAGGAGGAGGAGGAGGAGGAGGAGGAGGAGGAGGAGGAGGAAGAGGAGGAGGAGGAGGAGGAGGAGGAGGAGGAGGAGGAGGATTGATGACGAGGGACGGAGGCTGGAGGACGGAGGATGCTGGGGGATCCAGATGGATTTGGAGGGTGGAGGAGGATGGAGGATTCAGGGGGATGGTGGACGGAGGACGAGGCGCTGCTGTCCCGGCGGAGGTGACGTGTAATGGCATCCCCTCCCCGGTGCCCATCGGCCCCTGCAGGGTCTGCGGCGTCCGTCTTGTGTCCCGAGTGAGCACGGCACTCCGAGGGGAGCCCAGACCGCAAGCAGCCGACAGTCGGCCCGAGCTCGGCATTCGCTGTCGACCCTACTGTCCTCCCCTCCCCAGGGGAAGTGCAGTGGATACCAATGCCAAGCGACACCCTTCTTGCCTCCAGGGCTTCTTGGGTTTCGATGAGTTCGCGCGATGGACAGCGTAAGGTCCGTATACCAGAATATCGTATAGTCAAGACCCCAGGTAAGGGGACGCGGTTAGTCCGGAGCCTTCAAATTTGCCAGAACCACTAAACCAGGTCTGCCGTAATCCGTGCTTTTGTCGTGTGACGGCAGTTCCGGTCAGTGGAACGGGACGGGGGGGGCGTCCCCCAGCACACATCACTGAACCAGGTCCCACTAAACCCAGTGCTGCCAACGGCCGACAGAAATTCATGGACGTCCTTGGGGCTCAGGGTTGGGTTCGTGGGGAAGGTTTCTTGTGGTCGAGCTCCTATTGTAGCAGGAACCCTCCCTCCACCACCCCAGACGGCGTCGTCGTCGTCGTCGGCTGGCAGGTCTTCGGGGCGCTCCTGAGGGCTCATCGCCGCGGCTGGGCGCAGCTCGACAAGTTGCTGCCTGGATGGGCCCAGGGAGAGGCTGGGGCCTGATTTCGATATGATTTCGCGGAGTCCAGCGAAGGAGGAGGGAGGCAGGAGGGATGATGCAGGACCGGGGGATGGACGGCGGGGATGGGGGACGAGGCCATGGGGACAGACGGCGGATGGGGGAACGGGTGCGGGGGATGGGACGGGGACGGAGGCAGGGGGGATGGGGGATGTGGAGCGGAGGATCGGGGGAAGGGGATGGCAGATGTTCCAGGATGGGGGATGTGGGACGGAGGATCGGGGTTAGAGGATGAGGGATAGACAGTCGAAGATGGAAGAGCAGGCTGCTGAGGATGAGAAGGGTTCCTTCCCCTCCGTGGTTCCTTGTCTTCGTCCCCCGCTCCACCACCATCCGTCCATGTGCCGCGCCCCTGCCATCGCTCCCGGTCCATCCTCTCCACTTGAATGAATATTCTTTCTGCCATAATTCGTAGAAGCTGTATGTATGTTGTATACATGCCATACAACATATCTAGATGTACATATAGCCACTGCACAATAGTGTTCAAGTTTGATAAATTGTATACAATAGTTTAAAACTCTATGCCGTTGCATAATAGTTTATGTACTTCGTTTGAGTTGAACGCAATTTAGCAGAACGTGCAACATTCGAATTTTAATTTTGCTGCAAGTTAAAACGATCCGCTAGAATTCGAGAGCTGTGCTCTCCGCCCCGTACATTGGCTAATCCATGCGCACCCCAACTGAGGGTGGGGCAAGTTTTCAAGTTCCTTGCAATGCGCGGCACGTGAATGTGCCAGGGCGGCGGGTACTAATCGAATACCCATGTTTGCCGTGCGCCGTTGTTATATAATCATCGTCATCATCACCATCTATCATCCTTGGGCCGTTGGGGCATCATGGGGCGCCGTCTTGAGCCATGCTCATGGAGCGTCTGCTCATGGAGCGCATGGCTCATGGAGCTCACGTTTCGCGGAGAGCTTCTGCTCATGCGTGGCTCATTGAGTTCTTCTGCTCATGGAGCGCATGGCTCAATGTTTCCGACGGGGTTCGGCATCGAGATCTGTATATAAATTTCGGTATGCTAAACATTGTCTTCAGACCGTGAGCCTCGCGCTCGGAACCATATGCCCAGGATGTGCACCAATGCCAATCGTCGCCGTCGCGTACACATCGCAACCGCCATCGCCAACCACCACCCTTGGTCCGTCTGCAGGGAGTGGGGGGCGGGGCATCTTGGGGCATCTTGCCCGTCGGCGCGGGGCCGTGGGTGCACGAGAGTTTCTGCTGATGGAGCTCACGGCTCATGGAGCTCACGGCTCACAGATCGCCTTTGCTCACAGAGCCCATGGTTCATTGTGCTTACTGCTCACGGAGAGCTTGTGCTCATGGAGTTCATGGCTCGTTGTGTCCGACGGCCGTCGCCACCGCCGTGTACACATGAATATGCACGCACACACATATACGTGGGTGAGCATACCATTTGGTCGGGGCAGTTGTCTTCAGAGAGCGAGTCTCGTGCTCGGAAAGCTTAGCTCAATGGGAGGTGCGCGCCATTCGTCTTCGTCATACGTCGTCATCGCCATCACTCGGGTATTTGGGGGCCGTCCTGGTCGTCGTGGGGCATCCCGGGGCCGTCGCTCGTTTGTTGGTCCGTCTTGGGGCATGAGAGCTTTTTCTCATGAAGCCCATGGCTGGTGGCGAGAATTTCTGCCCATGGAATTCGTGGCTCGTGGCGCTCGTGGCTCACGGGGAGCGTCGGCTCATGGAGCTCGTAGCTCATTGTCGCCATCGCGGTGTATATTTCTGTTCAGAACTAAATATACGTATGTATATGCAAATGGCTGCACGCAGTTCCTTAGCTTGAGCTTAGCGTCGGCATAGGCGCCTCGTCACCGCTATCACCATGTCACCCGTTGGTCGTTGGGGGCGTCTTGCATGCTGCAATTTCGGGACATCGATGGATCCAATTAAAGCGCGCATGGAGCTCACGGCTCATGGAGCTCATGGCTCACGGGGGGCCTCTGCTCATGGGGCCCATGGTTCATGGAGCTCATGGCTCGCGGAGGGCTGGAGCTCATGGCTCATTGTTTACCGCGGCACTCGTCACGCCGTATTTACATGCGTATTCGTGTGTGAGTATATACATTGATTATGCGTGCGCGTGTAAATGCATGCGTACACCTTCGGTTGAAACCATTCTTTTCAGACCGAGAGCTTTGCGCGCGGAACATCGTGTTCGATCCGTGACGAAGGGTGGCCGACGGCCTTTGAGGAGCTTCTGCTCGAGATGCGTGGTGCATCATCTTATCGGTTTTCTTTCACGCAGCGCCTTCAGACTCAAACCTTGCGGCGCTTCTTGTCGGACTTGCCGCCGCTCGAGCTGGCGCCCTCACTGCCCTTGCCACGCTTGCCCTTGTTGCCTTTGTCCTTCTTGCCCCTGCCCTTGCCAATCTGGCCAGCATTGCGCTTCTCGCCGTGGTCGCCGCCATCGGTATGACAAATCACCGTCGCGTCAGGCCTGCGTCACGTCCCTGGGTTTGAAGAAATACAGCCTCTCGTGCACTTTCAGTGGCTTGAAGTTCTGCAACGCAGGGTAGCTCACGCCGTCAGCACCGACGACCTTTACGAACTTACCGCTCGCCTTCTCCTCGACCGTCGTGGACTCCACCCACAAGTACGGCGCCATGCAACCTGCCACTGTGTCATCAGCGGGCTTGCTGACGCTTGTGGCCCACATGGTCTTTTCACCGCTGGCCGCCGTCGCCGAATTGCCCTCCGCGCCCTTCCTTTTGTTGCAGATGATGTTCTGCAATGGCGCGGTCGGGGCGAACTTGAATATATCATTGCCCACTGCTTCCGACGTCACAACGCCGCACGGGTTCTTCATGCACAATATGGGCGGCCCCTGGCATCTAGCGCCAGACTTCCGCAGATCGATGTGCTCGTCGCGGAGGCTCCCGAAGACCATGCGCCGAAGCTGATATTGCTCTAAAACTTCAGAGCTGTTGTCTTTCCCCGTGCACTCTTCGCTTACCTTCTCCTTGACGACCTTCCAATCATTCATCAGGACTTTGTAGCCGACCGCGACCTTGAGGCATTCATCGACATTGAATGTGCTGGCCTCGGTCATCGTGACCGTGCCATCGTTTTCGGCGGTGTTTACTTCGAACAACGTGTTTTCGTTGATGTTGTTCTCCTTCATGTGAGAACCGATCTCGATGCCCGCTCGGTCCTTCAGGACGCGCGGGGGCGCAGCCATCTCGTCGAAAGTCAGGGCGCCGATCCTCTCCATCTCAGGCCTTGCAGCAGTGGCGCTCTCGAGGCGGTCGCCGACCTTCAGGTCGAAGTCGCCGAGGTCCACGGGCGAGTCGCCAGCTGCCCTCTTGAGGTCATTCGCAAAGCGTGACTTGATGTCATCCATGTTTTCGTATACCTTCTTGTCTGGCGAGAAATGTTTCTTATCGAAATGGAAGAGCACAGCTCGCACCATGAACTTGCCGACCAGCATGTCAAACGCTGTCTGGTGGACCACCCCCTGATCGGCAAGCTTCCACGCACGCTTGAGCGTGCTATTCAGTTGGATGGTCTCATCCTTGCCTTTTGACTTTTCCACGTCGGTCCTACAGATCAGCTTCGCGATACCGTCCACCACCTTCTCCGACACAAGGCTCGTGGCCACGAGGGCGGCGCGAAAGAACGGTCGATCGTCATACTTGTTGAGACCCGCGGTCGCAACCGCCATGATGAACTCTCAGGGCGCTCGGGGGGAAGTGTGTCAGGGGTATATCCTCGTGGCGATCCTCCCCCCCCCCCTCGGCCCCCCCCCGGGTTCCCTGTTAGTGGTTCCTGGGCCGATTTCGGTGGGTCCCTGGGTTCCCGGGTTCCCGGTCGATCTCATGATCGATTTCTTCATCGACCCCACGATTCATCAAACCATCCACTTGTTGGGTTTTTTGGTGCCATACATATATATAACTATGTGTATGTACATATATATAACAGACCTATATGTACATATATGTATGTGTATGTATGTATGTATGTATGTACATATGTATGTATGTATGTATGTATGTATGCATGCATGTATGTATGTATGTATGTATGTATGTATGTATGTATGTACGTATGTATGTATGTATGTCTGTATGTATGTATATATGTACTTATATATATATATATATATATATTATCGTGGCGGTTCTCCCCCCTTCGGCACCCCCTGGGCAGGCTCCTGGCTCCAGGCCGAGCCGCTGGCCGAGACGGCCCGGGGCGCACTGGCCGCCCCGCCGCCCCGCGGCCCCGCGCGCGCGAGCGCGCGGGCACCTCCGGCGGCGGCGGCAGCGGCAGCGCCGGGGCGGGGGGCTGCGGTGGCGGCGGGGGCCGTCCGACCCAGAGCCCCTCGCCCTGGGTGGCCCACGGGGGGGTCCAGCTGAAAAGGGGTGGTGCGATAGTCCCAGATCCCCGACGTCATGGTTTTTTCATTGCACGGGCCCCCAGAGGTCTCGAGTCCCGACCCATTCTCCAAGACCAGCTTTTCATCCTTCGTCGTTTTTTCACGGTCCCGAGGGTCAGTAAAGGCCCCCAGGGGCCGAACATAGCAGAAAGCTTCCCGTCATGTGTTTCTCATTACCCGAGGGGGTCTGTGGTTTTGGGGCACTTGTATTGCAGATGTATGGCGCCAGAGAATCGTCTGGCACTGTGTTGCAAGGAATGTCTTGCACGCGAAAGCCAAGCAATACATTTGCGCCCCGGAATGTAGTGCACGCCGCACATGTACTGCAACCCCACAAATCGATTGCACCACATCTATTGCACCACCCCCGTGTCGCTGGACCCCCTTTCGGGTCAACCCGACTCGCGTTGCGAAGAACACACGACGGGAGGTTTGTCTCTACTTTCGGCCTCCGGGGGCCTTTGCCGGGCCCCGGGACCCTCAAACAGCGGCACGGGCTGAAAAGCCAGTCCCAGAGGCAACGATAGGGGGGGATAGGCATAGGCGGGGAACGCATCGACCCCCAATCGCCCAGTGATCGCCGATAGGGGCCCGATAGCCCCAACTTGCCCAGGAACGTGCGGCTTCACAATCGGCCTATCGCCGATCCATCGGCGATGTATCGCCGATTCCAGGTCGATGTTCCCCCCCTGTCCTTAAGTCGGGCCTGTCCTTCTACAGGAGGAATATTCAAAACTTGCCAAACAAATAGTATGGTGAGTATTCTTGAACTATTTGTGATCATGTTGGCATTTTTTGTATGTTTGATGTTTCGTCCAAGATCCGCCTGAAGGGGGACACGCCTGACCTAATCCTGTCCCTATCCCCCCCTAACGTTGCCCCTCACGGTCCCGGGGAAGAATCCGACCTTTGGGGGTCGACGTCGTGAAAAAAAACACGGCGTCGGGGGTTCACTGGAGCCAGAGCGTCCAGCGAGCTCGATCGTGTTCCCCCCCTCCCCCTCCTCCTCCTCCTCCTCCTCCTCCTCCTCCTCCTCCTCCTCCTCCTCCTCCTCCTCCTCCTCCCTCCTCCTCCTCCTCTCCTCCTCCTCCTCCTCCTCCTCCTCCTCCCTCCTCCTCCTCCCTCCTCCTCCTCCTCTCCTCCTCCTCCTCCTCCTCCTCCTCCTCTCCTCCTCCTCCTCCTCCTCCTCCTCCTCTCCTCCCTCCCCTCCTCCTCCTCCTCCTCCCTCCTCCTCTTCCTCTCCTCCTCCTCCTCCCTCCTCTCCTCCTCGCTCCTCCTCCTCCTCCCTCCTCCTCCTCCTCCTCCTCCTCCTCCTCCTCCTCCTCCTCCTCCTCCTCCTCCTCCTCCTCCCTCCTCTTCCTCCTCCTCTTCCTCCTCCTCCTCCTCCTCCTCCGCCTGCCCTCAGACGGGCCAAAAAGAAGACATAATACTGATGCGTTCTGCAGGATTTCACAGATTTCCCCGAGTTCCTGCTGTTCCACGGGGGCTTCAGAAACGGGGGCCGCTGGACACTTCTGGAGATCGTGGAGCGCAGCCTGTGCCAACCGCATCATGACATCATGTCCGTCCTACGCCCCCTCCCTCCTTCCCCCCTCCCCCTTCCCCCCTGATTGATCTCAGCGCTGGAAGGTCTCGTCAAAGGAACGGAAAGGCCAGTTTTCTGGACGGTCGGGAGCCTTGAGACGGGGGTTAATGCAAACGGGGGTCAGCCAGAGCGCCAGATCTTGCAGGATCCTGCGAAGACCTCCTATGGCTGACCCGGGCTAGCGAGCCGCTCGTGGCCGCGAGGCGGCCGCGCCTATTGGCTGACCCGGGTTTGCGGAGATCTGCGTTGCGTTTTTTGTTTTTCCTGCATTGCAGTTTTTGGTTTCCTGCTGACCCGGGTCTGGATTGACCCGGGTCAGAAGATCCCCGAGACGGTGCGCCCAGGGCCCCTCGGCAGCAGCGGCGCCGCGGCGCTCCACGCGCCACGGCGCTTGCGTCAGTTTCGTCGCTCGGTGCAGGCTGCTCACCGGTGAGATGCGCAGTCGAGTCCGCAGTCGACTCCTGCTCGTCTGTCTCGTCTGTCTTGGACGAGGTCTAAGTTGCTTGGTTGGATTGGTTCTCCTGCTCCGTGATCCTCTAAGTTGCTTGTTTGGCCTGTTTTGCTGATTCCTGATTCCCTGATCCCTGTGCTGATTCCTTGATTCCCTGATTCCCTGATTCCTGATTGTCTGATTTGCTTTGTTCCCTGATCCCTGTCCTCTAAGTTTTCTGATTCGTGATTCCTGATTCCTGCCCTGTCAGCTGGTGTTGCGCTCCTCCTCCTCCTCCTCCTCCTCGCCTCGTCCGAGGGGTGTCATCCCCAGCCCGCGGGTGGCCAGATTCATACGCGCACTGGCTGTTACTCTATTTGACGAGTGCTGCACGGCGCGCGTGCCCGTAGCCTCGTGTACTAGAGTCGGTGCACGAGTGTCTCACGTACAGTCGGGGCGCTGCAGACGGAACCCTTTTCGTTCGGGAGGGGCTCGGTGTTCTTTGATTGTTCTGCAGTTTGCCTGCGGCTTTCCTGAGGTTTTCCACTGGAAGTCGAAGTTCAACTTGTGGGCAAAAGGGGCCTCGTTCCTTATTTATCGTTCCTTAGGTCAACGCCCCGACCGCATGCGTGTACAGGTTTGCAGGTGCAGGGCACCCCCACCGAGCGCTTGGCCGAGTCCTGTCCTATCCTATGCGGAAGGTTCGCGTCGTGTCAACCGGCGGCGACCCCGCCGCCGGCGTTCAACGCTGAACGCCGCCGGCGACCCAGAGCCATTCGATGTTGAGCGATCTGACGTTTGGGAAACGGCCAATCGTTCAAGGATGAACGGTCCCGGCGGTGTCAGGAGCCAGTGTCGGGCTCGGCACGGCACGAATTTTCGGGTCGGGCGAAAGGGGGGGATTGGGAAAGGGGGGTTACGAAATTTGCTGCATGCAGCTGGTTTCGGCCCTACCGAGGGGCCCATTCCTCGATACATGGGCGCCTCCCTGCGCCGGGAGGCGCCGGGAAAATCAGCTACGTGAGCTGATTCTCAAACCCCCCCTTTGCTATCCCCCCCTCTCGCCCGGCCCGACATTTGCCGCATCCGATCCTCCCCCCAGCGCCCTTCCCCCCCCCTGCGGCGCCGGAGGAGGAGGAGGAGCAGGAGGAGGAGGAGGAGGAGGAGGAGGAGGAGCAGGAGGAGGAGGAGGAGGAGGAGGATCGGTGTGGTCGAAACGGGCACGGAGAGGGCCCAGGCTCCCTCGCGGGACGACGTGGGGTTTGTGGAAGCCTTCGGCCCCCTTTAGGGGCCCTCGCCGGAAGCGGGAAGGAGCAGAGGTTCCGGACAGAATCGGCCAGGGGCAGGTCGGTGCGTGACCCTAACACTCTGCACGCACGAAATGGGTACTGAAAGAATGGGGACGATGCCCAACAGCGGATCTTGTTCATTTTGAACGGGGCTCGCTGTCCACGCCGCCGCGGCCTGTGTCCATTCGAGACAGAAGGCCGCCTGCCCAACAGCGGCTGCTGTTGGCTTGGGACAACACTTGTTGTTGGGCATAGTGCCCATTCTTTCCGTACCCAATTCGGGCGTCCAAAAACACGAGCCCCACCATCTTCGGGCGACGAAATCTATACATATCCACTGCTCCCTGACCATGCCCATCTTGAACCCAGGAGCTGTGTATGCGCCCTCCTGGCCAAGCCAGGAGGGCGTGGCGTATACACCGCTGCGGGGTTGAGGATGGGCCTGGCCAGGGAGCAGTGGATATGTATAGATTTCGTCGCCCTACATCTGACCACCCCAGTTGGGGGTGTGCCCCTCGGAACCCGGAGGGAGCAGCCTATATCCCCATGTAGGGTTAAGTCGGGCCGGCCCCCCTACAGGGCGATGTTCGTCCGAAAGTAGTCGGGGCACTTTTTGTTTGAGTATCTGTTGCCCTTTTGGGGGTATCTAATAAGGTATTTCTTATGTGTCGTCGATAGGGGGACACGCCCCACATAAATGTAGGGGGGTGAATCGGTCAGTGGGGCCCAGGCCACGCCAGTGAAAAGGGGGGGAATCGTTTGAACGATGCTCACTTAAAAGTGGGGGCGTAGGCTCAGGGGGGACACGTCGACCGCCAGCGAATCACCCGCTCTCATCGCCGAGAGGGGCCGGATAGCTCCCGCCTGCTTGAGGGCGTGCGGACTTGCTGCCGGGGGCCGGTGGCCTGTCGCCGTCGGGGCACAAGGGTGACAGAAGCGCAAACTCTCACCGAGCTCGAATCGTCGATGCGTCGCCGACAGA